GTCTGGCCAGCCTGGGTGAGGGGCTGATGGGTGTTTGCAGGCTGGTCACACCCCCTTCAGGGTGGGGGTCCACTGGGTTGGCTGGCCAGCCTGGGTGCAGGGCTGATGGGTGTTTGCAGGCTGGTCACACCCCCTTCAGGGTGGAGGGTCCCCACTGGGGTGCCTGGCCAGTCTGGATGAGGGGCTGAGGGCCATGTTCAGGCTGGCCGAGCCCCTCAGCAATGGAAGCTCCCCGCCTCTCCTTTTATTCTTTTTTCTTTTTTTTATTCTGGGATTTATTTACCTTCTATAATTGAAACTTTGTAGCCTTGAGTGGAGCTCAGAGCTGGCCAGGGTGGGTGGGATGGAAGCTTAGCTTCCTCCATCGCCAGAGGCAACCCAAGCCTCCCGCTCGCTCCAGCTCCGTGGCCATGGCTGGCTGAAAGCATGTATCTGGGGTTTATTTATCTTTTATAATTGAAACTTTGTAGCCTTGAGTGGAGCTCAGAGCTGGCCGCGGCAGGCGGGAAGCTTGGCTTCCTCCATCATTGGGGCAACCAAGCCTCCCGCTTGCTCCAGCTCCATGGCTGCCCACCATTTTGTTTTTAAGCTCGCAATCAATTACTCAATGATTGATACCCTCATTATTCTCAGAAGCTACATGGGTTGCTATAGAAGATATAAAAAGATCTATGATGTTATTAATTGTCTTGGAATAACTCAGAAAGGAGGGAAATGTATGTTCTTATTGAAATTTTTCTTTATTGAAATGTGGTATAAATGATACAAAGACTTAAACACTTATAGGCATGGGTACAGAAAATGTTTTTACTCAATATGTCATATTCTTTCTAAACATAAAATCATTTTACATTATCTATTTCATTTCACCCTCTAGATTATCCTTGTTCTGGAATGTTGGGCATGGTGTCTGGTCTTATTTCTGACTCCCAGATTACAGCCTCAAACCAAGGGGACAGGAACTGGATGCCTGAAAACATTCGCCTTGTGACTAGTCGCTCTGGCTGGGTACTGCCACCCGCACCTCATCCATACATAAATGAGTGGCTCCAAGTGGACTTAGGGGAGGAGAAGATTGTGAGGGGCATCATCATTCAGGGGGGAAAGCACCGGGAGAACAAAGTGTCCATGAGGAAGTTCAAGATTGGGTACAGCAACAATGGCTCAGACTGGAAAATGATCATGGATGACAGCAAACGCAAGGCTAAGGTAAGATTCAGGGACAGGGAGTAAATGGACTTCCAGGAGGAAGTCCTTCCTCACATCCTTGACTTTGCTCAAGGACCTTCGCCCTTTCCTGAGGAAGAAAGACTTCTTATTTCCTTTCATTCCTGAGATCAGTGACCCCCAATTCTCGGACAGACAGGATTGAGGTACAGAAAGTGATGTACGAGATAAACATAGAAAAGAATTGCAATGCTGGCCACCTTTCCCTCCCTTAGGGTAGGCAGGTAGTTGAACACAGACAGGAGATAGAGTAACTATCCCCATGAGAGTGGGGATCAGGGAGTTGCCAGCAGCAACTGGGCAAAAACTTAAAATCTCTCAGCAGACTCTAATTTATCAGTTAACCCTTCCCTTCCTGTTTGATCTTCTTCCCTCCTTTAAATATATTTTAAAAAAATTTTTAATTATGATAAAATACACATAACATAAAATTTACCTTCTTAACCTTTGTAGGTGTGCAGTTCAGTAATATTAAGTATATTTATATTGTTCAGCAACCAATCTCCAGAACTCCCCCATCTTGCAAAACTGAAAGTTTGTGTCCATTAAGCAATAGCTACCATTTCTCATCTCCCCCAGTCCCTGGAAACCACTTTTCTACTTTCAGTCTCTATGGATTTGACAACTCCAGCTACTTCATACAAGTGCAATTATATAATACAAGATAGGGCAAAAGCAGGTTTACAGTTGTGAGTATGCAAAACAGTTTATTTTTGTATTATCATTTATTGATTATTGTATTATTTTCCATATAAGCAACTATAAACCTACTTTTGCTTCACCCTGCATTTGTCACTTAGCATAATGTCTTCAAGATGATCCGTGTCAGAATTTCCTCTTGTTAAGGCTGAATAATACGCCATTGTATGTACATACCACATTTTGTTTATCCTTTCATCCATTGATGGACACTTAGATTGTTTCTACCTTTGACTATTGTAAGTAATGCTTAAGTATTTTTTATGCATTGGAACCTTTTTAAATGCAGCTTGCTCTTGATCCAGTGAAAAGAGAAGTGAATCCCAATATGTAAAAAGCCAGGGGCCATCACGACTGAAACAACTGGATGGACGACCGAACAGCATGCTGTGTGGGGCGACCAGGCTGGCAAGGGGATTAGTGAGGGATGACCAAACAACTGAACACCAGGCTGCATGGGGTGACCAGGACAGCAGGAGGGTTAGTGAGGGATGACCAAACAACTGAACAGCAGGCTGCATGGGGTGACCAGGCCAGCAGGAGGGTTAGTGAGGGATGACCAAACAACTGAACAGCAGGCTGCATGGGGTGACCAGGCCAGCAGGAGGGTTAGTGTGGTTGGAGGGGAAGTTGGGATTGACCAGGCTGGCAGGGAGAGCATTTGGGGGTGACCAGGCTGGTGGGGGCGCAGTTGAGGGTGACCAGGCCAGTAGGGGGAGCAATTGGAGGTGACCAGGCTGCAGGGGGACAGTGAGGGGTGACCAGGCTGGCAGGGAGGGTAGTTAGGTGCAATCAGGCAGGCAGGCAGAGGCAGTTAGGGGTTATCAGGCTGGCAGGGGGGGCAGTTAGGGGCCATCAGGCAGTCAGGCAGGTGAGCAGTTAGGAGCCAGTGGTCCCAGATTGTGAGAGGGATGTCCGACTGCCGGTTTAGGCCCAATTACGAATGGGCCTAAACCAGCAGTCGGACATCCCCCAAGAAGTCCCGGATTGGCGAGGGTGCAGGCTGGGCTGAGGGGACCCTCACTGTGCACAAATTTTATGCACAGGGCCTCTAGTCTCAATAGAATTGAACATTCCAATGTTCAATAGAACATGTGGTGTGATATTTTTTAACCAAACAGATGTTCTTTAGTGATTAGGTTTTACTTAGAGTGATTATTAAATTTATTTGAATTTCCTGAGTACACAATGCCAACTAGGAAAGGAGTATGTTGGGTGACCCAGAAGCTGGTTTGAGACTAAAATAAGTAACAAACCATAGACATTCAATGCAGTATGCGGTGAAGGATTTGTATTCAGCTAATGAAACTTCTCACACCCCAAACAATTGGCTTTTTGGTTACATCCTTCCCAACCCCACTTTGCCCAGGACCTACCCCTTTTGTGAAAAGAAGATTCTAGCTAATTGGATGGAATATTGTCTTTGGTCCCATTCTAGGCAAGTGTGGGAATGTGGCTTAATATATGACTCAAGCAAAGGTATTGCAGGCAGGAAATCAAAAGTTGGGCAGTGCAGTCAGCTCCACTCTGTCAGACATGGAGCTCTGCAGAGACTTCCCTTTCCCCCACTGGCTGCAGGTCAGCCACTGACAGGGATGATGCTGTCAGAGGTGAAAGAATTTCACTTCCATCTCACCTCTCATTAACTTGTGATTTCTAAAACATTGTCAGAGTTATTGTCATCTGTGTGTAGATATTTTCTTTCTTGTGTCCATTTCATTTTCCATTTTATGTCTGCCCCTCTTGTTTTGGTGAGAGAAAAAGTAAAATAAACAGAAAACTGCAATTCTCCCTAAGAGTCAATCTCTGAAGGAGTCATGAGCCTTGTGACTTTATCACAAAGTGTGCTGGAAATCAACAACTTCCTGGAGCTGCTGTCATATGGCAGTGTGTGCTGTAGTGACATGTTCTTCAATACTAGGGTTCTCAGACAGAAAGATAACAAAGTACTGTAACCTCTGAAAGGATGCACCATATGCTTCCCTGTGTTGTCCAATGCACATGTCTGCTATCAAGTCTAAAGCTATCACTCTCTTGTAATACATTGCATATAGAATTCCACAAGAAGGCAACACACAGTTTTCAATTTTAATAAAAAAAGTCCATTCAAGATTGGTTGAATGTGTTTAATTTTATTCCTAAAATATTATTATTTTTTTTTACCATCATTCTATGGTATTTAAAACCATGAAAGCTTCTAAGTTGTTTAGATAGAGCTTAATAAGTTACCCCTGAATGCCCTTTCCCAGAAATAAAATATTTATATGAAAAAGATACTGGTAAAACCTTCAACTTAGAAGCAGTACATATTTATAAATTGTATAAAGATATTTAAAACATACTATATTTAAACTTATAAATGAAGGTTACCTCCTTAGGATGCCATGTCTCTTATATGTAACAGTAAAATGAGTACTGTTTTGTGAAATGCAACAGCACTTTAATGGATTTAAAATCTTCTATGCCCTCTCCTTGCTTCCTACTCAAATGATGGACAAGATATATCAGTCTTTGTATTAACTAGACTTTTCAGGAGCACATAGAAGATCTAAATACACAAAGCCCTTTTCTAAAACATGATTAGTAAAAGGACACAGATTTTTTATAAATGATCTCATGCTAGTAAAATTAACCCAGTTCTTCCCAGCCAGTGTGCTCAGTGGTTGAGCGTCGACCCATGCACCAAGAGGTCACTGGTTCCATTTCTAGTCAGGGCACATGCCCAGGTTGCAGGCTCAATCCCCAGTGGGAGCCATGCAGAAGGTAGTTGATGTGTCTATCTCTCTTTCCCTTTCTATCTCTCTAAAAATCAATAAAAACATATTTTTAAAAACAATTAGCACTGTTGTATATGGCTCTTCATTGCTAATATTCTTCCCAGTTCATCACTGACAGCTTTTATAATGTATTTAGATTGTGCCAATTCTTTGCTCAAGTTAAAATTAGGAGAAGAGTCTGGGACACAAGAAAGAAAATATCTACACACATATGATATAAACTCTGAAAATATTTTAGAAACCACAAGTTAAAAGAGTGCTTTTCTCCTATGATTGTTGAAGCTATGTTATTAGTATATTAGAGGCCCAATAGACAAAATTCATGCAAGAGTAGGCCTTCCTTCCGCCAGCTGCCGGCAACAGCTTCCCTCTGGCACCTGGGACACAGGTTTCCTTCCCTCCAGCTGCTGGCAGGCACCCTGGCAGACACCCAGGACCCGGGCTTCCCTCGCAGCCCCGGCTATGTCCAGAAGGACGGAAGGATGTCTGGTCTAATTAGTATATTATGGATAGACAAAATTCATGCAAGAGTAGGCCTTACTTCCGCCAGCTGCCGGCAACAGCTTCCCTCTGGCACCTGGGACACAGGTTTCCTTCCCTCCAGCTGCTGGCAGGCACCCTGGCAGACACCCAGGACCCGGGCTTCCCTCGCAGCCCCGGCTATGTCCAGAAGGACGGAAGGATGTCTGGTCTAATTAGTATATTATGCTTTGTTATTATAGATTACTCTTAATTGATGACACTTAATAGAGCCTAACAATAATATATGTCAGATTCTCAATTACTGGCAACAACTGTAATTCTATCAAGAATGTAGAACCCCAGCCAATGGGGAATTTACTCTTGAAAATAATAGAAGGAAACCTTAATTTGAGAGAAGTGGGTCTATGTTAGTCATGTACTTTGAAATTCCTGGAGGCTTTTCTGAGTCAGAAAGGATCAATTAATTTACTTCTAGAACTCAGAAAAGCACTGGTTATGTCACAACCTACTCAATCTGTCTATCTCCTCTTACATGTGTCTCCTGTTTTGCCATGATGTTTCCACCACTGAAAGATAGCTTCTTTGGCTGCTTTATGACAACTGTTAGGTATGGTTCCCACTCCTGCTGACAGGCCTGGGGCTGGCCATCCACTAGGTCTGATCTACCAAGTTTAGTAGCCTAGAATGAGATAATTTAAAGAAAACAATGAAACTAAGTGTGTGGACTTGGGCAAAGAACTCAATTCCCTGATCCTCAATGTTTTCATTTATTGAAATGATGACATTTGACTCGATTATTTCTAAGGGCTGAGGCATCACGGCAGTGTAAGAGTGAAGGGCACCAGTTCAGACTGCCCATGTTTGAATCTTAGCTCTATCACTTACCATATGGCCATGAGAAAGTTGCTTGACCTCTCTGTGGTTCACCTGTAAAACAGGGGTAATAATAGAACCTACCTTGTGGAGTTGTCTAGAGGATCAAATGAATTAATATATTTTAAGCACTTTAAACAATACCTTTCACCAGTAAACATCTTAGGTTATTTGACATATAAAAGGCCACTCCTAATGATAAAGCAATTTGATTTTTCTAAACTTGCCTCTCCCCGCTTCTCCCATTCTGGACTGGATTAAAAATGGTGTAGGGAGAAGAGGATATATAGTGAGGCTTATCCATTTCTAAAAAAAAGAAAAGAAGTCTAGTCATTGCTCCATTTGCAAAATACACTCAAGGATTTTGACCTTCCTGTCAATGTGAAAAAGGAAAATAAAATAATTTAGCAGCAGCACTGGCAATGAATAGCCTAGCTCCTGAAAATATGTCACTGACTTCAAGTTAGAAATGTGCTTGACAAAGAGGTGCAATTCAACCCATTCATCAGAACATCACTTAACAGACAGGGCTCTTGTTCTCTTTCTGAGGAAAGGAGGTCTTTTATCTACAGATACTCCCAAGTGCTGGAACACCTTATGTAAATAGAATTTTAAGGCATTGGAATAACACAAGTTCTTGAGTAAACAGCATTTGCACTGCATTAAATTTACTATTTCCTTCTGCAGCAATTTAATTCATCCCTCTTCTAGAGGACCCACTGATTGAAGAGAATGTAACAGGAGTAGTTATTGAAAATGTGGTGTCTATTATAAGCTCTGAAAAGTGGCAAGTTCTCTTCCTGAATCATAGTTCTCCAACCTCAAGGAAGTGGTTAAAGTGTCGCTTCTCCGAGGCATGTCAACATATCATTTAAAAACATGTCTCATGACTGCTTCTGGTATAGCCTCAGGGCATACTCTAGTTTCTGAGAAATGACATCTATCACTTCTTAAAGAAGTCAAATTGTTTTTTCCTTTCTCATTTATGAAATGAATGTCAGGCATTTACAAAGTGGTAGAATGATCCCTATTTCTCTGCTCTATTAAGAGACCGAAGGAGAGACTCTTCTGCTGAATAGGTGGTTTTATTAATAACTGGTATTTTTCATACTTCACAGTCTTTTGAAGGCAACAGCAATTATGATACGCCTGAGCTACGAACTTTTCAACCTCTTTCCACACGATTCATCAGGATCTACCCTGAGAGAGCCACTCATGGTGGACTAGGGCTAAGAATGGAGCTACTGGGCTGTGAAGTGGAAGGTAATTACAATTTCCAAAGTCCCTTTAACTTTCCCAGTTTTGTTTTGTTTTGCTTTTTATTGATTAAGGTATTACATATGTGTACTTACCCCCCCCCGTCCTCTGGTTGATCTCTCCCCCTTCCTCCCACCCTCCCCTATCTTCCCTCTGAGGTTTGAGCATCTGATCAATGCTTCTCAGTCTCTGGATCTGTTTTTGTTAATCAGTTTATGTTGTTCATTATAATCCACAAATGAGTCAGATCATGTGATAGTTATCTTTCTCTGACCGACTTATTTTGCTTAGCATAATGCTCTCCAGCTCCAAGGATATATGAAAACATGCTCAAAGTCACTAATCATTCAAGAGATGCAAATCAAAACAACAATGAGGTACCATCTCACACCTGTCAACAAACAACAAGTGCTGGCGAGTATGCAGAGGAAAAGGAACCCTCTTGCACTGCTGGTGGGAATGCAGACTGGTGCAGCCACTGTGGAAAACAGTATGGAGTTTGCTCAAAAAACTAAAAATGGAACTCCCATTTGACCCAGTAATCCCACTTCTAGGAATATATCCCAAAAAACTAGAAACACCAATCAGAAATGATATATGCACCCCTATGTTCATAGCAGCACAATTTACCATAGCTAAGATTTGGAAATAGCCTAAGTGCCCATCAACAGATAAGTGGATTAAAAAACGGTGGTACATCTACACAATGGAATACTATGCTGCTGTTAAAAGGAAGAATCTCCTACCATTTATAACTTTCCCAGTTTTAAAAATATTTCCTTTTTTCATGCTATATACCCCCAAAGACTTAAAAATTGCAGTATTTTCACCTAGGCGGTCCTCTCTGTGCCTGCTAAGCTCAACATTTTAGCACATTCTCTGGAACATTCTAATCTGAAAACTAGTGCCTCCAGAATCCTACTTTTGTCTTGGTCACTTACACAACTTCCTCAGATTCAGTGGGGTTGTCTCCTTTGACTTCTTAAAAAAATAATTTATTGAAATAAAATTTACATAACATAAAATACACCATTTAACAATAAACAATTTAGTACATTCACAATTATTTGTGCTACCACTACCTCCATCTAGTTCTAAAACATTTCCATCACTCCAAAGTAAAACTCCTTATCCATTAAACAGTTTTGCCCTACTTTCATCTCCCCCAACCCCTGGCAACCACCAATCCCTTTGATGCTTTTAGTGTTGTTTAGAAGTCTGTGTCTAATCTAGGTTTCTGTATGCAGTGTTGACTACCATTGCATACCAGCAGGAAGCAGCATTTGGTAGACTGCAACATCAACACATTCTCTTCAATGAATTTCTTAGGCTGCTGCAGGGACACAAAACTTTACATGAGATAATGAATGTGAATATACAGTGAGGTCTATTTAAGGATGTTACTGTATAAATTTATGTTATCATCTGAAGGACATATCAACAACAAATTCAGTCCCCATATGGACCTCAGAACAGTTCTCTCCTCTGCATTTTTATCACATCTATACTAATAAAAGGGTAATATGCTAATTAGACTGGGAGACCAGACATCTTCCGACCATCCAACTTCCTTCCAGACAAAGCCACAGTGGTGGGGGCCGAGGCAGAGGTGGTTAGGGGCGATCAGGCCAGCAGGGGAGGGCAGTTGGGGGCCATGAGGCCGGCAGGGGAGGGCAGTTGGAGGCCATCAGGCCAGCAGAGGAGCCGTTAGGTAGTGACCAAGCCGGTAGGCAGGCAAGTGGTTAGGAGCCAGTGGTCCCGGCTGGAGGGATGTCCGAGGCCTAAACCGGCAGTCGGACGCAGAGGGTGCAGGCTGGGCTGAGGGACCCCCCTGTGCACGAATTTCGTGCACTGGGCCTCTGGTAATATATGAAATCAGTGTTTGAAAATTTGATATGATAGTTGCTTATTATACCACTTAATGATTTTTTGTACATTAAAATGTCCACTGCCTTACATTTAGGCATCAATGAGTAATCTTATACCAACTTTTTCATCTCTGTAGAGGTCTTTCTCCAAGTTAGCTCAAAGAATGGCTATTGCTAATACCCAGATCTTAATCAATTCAGCATGTGCTCACAGTTGTTTGAAGAATTCTTTTTACTATCACCTTCTGTAGTTTCAAAATTATGTGTGTTTTCAGCTACCCAAATGTAATTACATTTCTGAGCACATTAAATATGCACTATAAATCTTAAGCTATGAATCACCATACTAGTGAATAATTCATAGCTACTTTTCTATGTGTTTATTTTAAAACAAGCTATCATCTCTCATTCTTTATTGTGTAGATGTTTCCACATCTGTAATCAAGTCCCAGACCTCTGAATTATCTAGTCACCATCAACACAGCCCAAAAAAGACCATGTGCCAGGTCTCTGGCAAAGATGCCAAGAAAAAGAAGGATGGGCACATTGAGTGAACTGCAGACTCATTCATTCAATTTACTGAGAAAATGTGGTCATCTGAAAAAGGGAGTCTGCTGCTTTGAGACAGGTCTTTAGCTTGGATTCTGATCCAAGGAATCACACTGATTTAGGAGGTAGAATGAATGGATGGTTAAAAAGACTGAACCTAGTGGCAGTTTGCCAGTGTCAACTCTGTAGTGAGGTAGAAGTTGTTGAAAGGATTTGCTGCAGATATTTCCAAGCTCTCACAAAAGTGTGCAAGTTGCCCTGAGCCATGTGAGAAACCAATATTAGGGAAAGTAATGTCAAAGCTTTAAACACGATTTGTGAAAGGGAGTGCCTTTTTTCTTCTTTAAATTGATTAACAGATATTTTATTAAATATCTACTTTGTGCCTTGTTCTACTGGAGATATTTAGAGATATACAGAAAGAGGATATGGTCCATCCCAGCGTTCCCTGAATATCCATCCTGAATACAGCTGGACTAGCACTTATATTTCAGAAAAATTAGAGAACCACAGAAGATAAATTATTTTAAAGTATTAAAATTAGGGCATGGAAATCATTTGCTTTCTGCGCTTTTTTTTCAATTTAATCTTGGTACTATTCTGGGCCACTGCCAATGTAGAACACCTCCTTTGTAAAAACTGTAAGGAATGCAACAAAACAAAACAAAACAAAACAAAAAAAACCCCAGCAAACTGAAAAAAAAAAACAGTTTTAAATACTTAAAAGTGGCACATAATCAAGAGCAAGGAGATCTTAGCAAAGACAAGCATCTGGATTGCCAGAAAGGATGCTATTAATTCAGTGAGAATAATAAGTAGACCCTGGGGGCCTCAGGTCCAGATGGTGGCGTAGGGAGGTGCTGTGCTTACCTCCTCCCATAACCACATCAAAATTACAACTAAATTATAGAACAATCAACCTGGAGAACCACCTGCAGACTAACTGAACAGAAGTACTATAACTAAGGCTATAAAGAAGTCACATTGAGACCAGTAGGAGAGGTTGAGACACAAAATACGCTGGTTCCACACCCATGTGTGGCAATTAAGAATCGAGAGGGATTTTTGGCTGCAGAGATTCCCTCTGAGGAGTAAGGAGTCTCAGCCCCACATTGGACTCCTGAGCCCAGGAGTGCCAGGAGGAAGAGCCCTCATAACATTCGGCTGTGAAAATCAGGGGTAATTTCATCTATGTGGGTGAGACAGAAGGCTTCTGGAAACACAGTTGTCCTCTTAAAGGGGTTATGTACAGACTCTCTCACTCATAGGCACTCACCCTGAGGTCCAGCAAAGGGAGAGTGGTGGGAGGGGCAAAAGAGATTTACGGGTAGAGGCTGAATTTTGTGGCTTTGGAGAGAGAGATGAAGAGACAGCGCAATTGCCCAACCCCCCCCCCCCCCGCCCCCCCCCCACACACACACGGCAAACAGGCCAGCACTATCTATCCTGTGTTGAGCCCTCCCCCCACAGGGCCTGTGGGCATAGGTGGGCACTAAATCTGATCCAAATTAACCTGGTGAACACCACTCACCCCACCATGGTGATTCCCTGAGACCCTGTCCCACACGACTCTCCCGCTGCCAGAGTGCCTTCAGGAGCTGGCAGCTGGACTCAGCCAGAGCATTAGCAGGAGCTCTTTCAGCCACAGGCAGCCAGCCTGGGCCTATACTCCAGTCATTCTTAAAAACCCTCAAAGGTATGCAGGCCACAGGAAGGAGGCCCCTAGCCTCCATGTGCACTGTGCCTTTTGATGAGTGGACGCAAGCTTGATACTGGCACAAAATCTGAATCTGCATTAACTGGTGAACACCCCTTACTCCACTCTGATGATTTCCTCAGACCCCACCCAATTCCCTACACAGCCAGGTGCTCTTTCAGTGGCAGGCAGCTGGTTTGTACTTTAGTATTTCTTAAAAATTCTCAAATGTGAGGCCTAAAGCAGGTGGCAGCTGGGCTCTAGTGCCCTGTATCTCTTGATGAGTGGCCCCAGACTCTACACTGGCACCAATATGAATCTGCATTAACCTGGTGAATACCATTTACCCCATCTATCTCACTGACTGCATGAGGTTCTTTCAGCAGCTGTGCACTACAGGCATCTGGGAGGCTGCAGATGTTCTTGGGATAAACTTTGCTGCATGGCCCCAGGTAATTTACTGGGGGCAGCCAGCATCAGTTTGGTTTGCAGCATGGCCTCTTCTACACACCTCCAATATAGTACAGGTATCTAACAACCAAAGGTAGCTTTGTAGTTTATTCCAGGTCCCCCCAGGTCAGTCATAAGCAGAGTCTGACATTGGCCTGAACTAGTTTCTCCTAAGGAGTCCCAGAACCAACACCCTAGTGTCTGGCATCAGAACATAACAGAGCACCACCCAATTAGCTCTATAAATGGCAAACCAAATAGGTGGTCTCAGTGGGTAACAGAGCCTCACTGTGGCAAATCCTGCTCCATGGAATGACCCTAACACAGCAGCTTGTACTTTGTGGTCAAGGCCAATCCTTACAACCAGTCAGTCTGAGGGTTAATCCAACTCACTACATGTCAACAGCAATCAAGGTTCAACTACAACAGAACAGCACACACAA